TTAACACCAACGGGTTTGCACAGCAGAATCTGGAGAGCGCCTGCGGCACAAGGCTGGGCCTCCCTTATCTCCCACCTCTTTGCTTTCTGTTGTTCATTCATCCCAGCAGCCAAAGGATTTAAAGGCACACGGGAAGCCCTGTCATTTGCTTTGCATGCTTCCTCACACAGCTTAAAAAAATAAGCTCAGTTATTAGTAGGAAGCGATCAGTACCTGGTTGGGTGTTCACCTTCACTCCACAATCACGGGCCAAGGGGCTGGGAATGGGAACAGAAAGCCACAGAAATGCATGCCTATGAGTCCCCCATGCTTCCCTTCCAGATTTACTAAAACATGTTGCACACGTTGGTGGGTAATTGGTTTTGAAATGAGATCAAGCGTGCAGGAAAGTCATACATACAAAATAAATCTCATCTGAATCATTCATTGAGTTTATACCAGCAGTAAATCAGGGCCCCCTGACTGAACAGCATTTGGACACCTGTAAGCACATGCTGTGCTGGGGATTTCTGGAACTCACCTCACTCCCTTCACCAGATGCAAAAGTCAAGGAGCCTTGCTCAGCTGGCAGCCAGCAATAGCCTGCCTCCCATGGAGGAGGAGAAGATCCATTTTGCTACAGCACGATCCAAGAGGGACACCTGAATCTGCCAGCTGCCAAGGCTTCCTACTGCTTACCTACACCATCACTCATCAGTGTGTCTTTAATTTGCAGCAAGGGAGTGATTGGCCTGGAAGAGCCCCCCCCAGGGAACTGCTGGGCTTGCAGCACTACCAGAGCACTATAAGGCATAGCTTGGAAGCAAAGCACTCCCTTGCACAGCTCCAGAAAGCAATCGATAGCATTGCACAGGCAGTGTGATTTGCTGGATAACTATCAACATTCACAAATAATGGAAAACACGTTCTCTCCCAACACGCTCCAATGAAGAGCAATGGGATGCTGCAAATGGGGTGGTAGCAGGAGCCAGGATTGCATGGTGAGCTTGGAGCTTGAATTGGCGAGTGCTCAGCATGCCCTTCCCTCTGCAAGGTATTGGTGGCATTGGGTCAGCAAGCCACCTCCAGCTTCCCTCCAGGAGCTTCCTTCTGCCAGAGATTTCCAGCCCAGCTGCTGCTGGCACTGAGGAGTTCAGCCCCTATCTGCAATTTCAAAGGCAGCAATTGAGCAAAGGTGAGCCCTTCTCTTCCCAAAAGAGGCAGATGTGCTCTCGTATCTGAATCATGGGGATGCTATACTGGATCAGCCCTTCTGTGCACTGCTTAGCCAAAATAAATGAGACAACATCCCAGTTTGCCACATTCTGTGTACGTGCTCGAGGAGAAAAAACATGGGCAAATGGACAGAGAAAGTCTTATCTGAACTTTAAGCATGGAATTCCTCCTAGATTATCTCCAGCCCAATATAAAAGCCTGAGCTCATTAAGGCATCCTGTTGGGGTCTAATTGCTCATCACTACCGCTCTCTGATGGAGGATGTGTGAGTGGCACATTTCTAAAGGTGCGACAGCTCCACCACCAGGCAGGGAGCTCCACTGTGCCAAGGCTGGACCCCAGCTGGATGAATGCCCAGGTTGGATGGGGCCCTGGGCAACCTGATCTAGTGGATAGCAACCCTGCCCAAGGCAGGGGTTGGAACCGACTGGGCTTTAAGGTCCCTTTCAACCCAAGCCATTCTATGATTCTGTGATTCTGTGGTTCCACAAGTCCATGGTTCTATGATTCTATGCTTGGGGACACAATGTTGGTAGATGAGAGAAGAGCAACTGATGGCATCTACCTGGACTCATACAAAGCTTTCCACGCTGTTCTACACAACGTCCTTGTCTCTAAATTGGACAGATCTGGATTTGGTGGATGGACTTGGTGGACAAAGAATTGGCTGGATGGTTGCACTCAGAGGATTGTGGTCAACTGTGGACACCAGTGATAAATGGTGCTTCTCAGGGTTTGGTATTGGGACAGGCTTGAGGAGTGAGCCCATGTGAACCTCATGACATTCAACAAGGCCAAGTTCAAGCTCCTGCACCTGGCATGGGGCAATCCCAAATAGACACAGGCTGGGCAATGACCAGATTGAGAGCAGCCCTGTGGAGAATGACTTGGGGTTCTGGTGTGCTCACAGGGCCAATGGTACCCTGGGCTACATCAGCAGAGGGGTAGCAGCAGGGAGAGGGAGGGGATTGTCCCCCTCTACTCTGCCCTAGTGAGGCCCCATCTGCAGTACTGTATCCAAGCATGGGGCTCCCAGTGCAGCAGGGATGTGAAGCTGTTGGAATGGGTCCAGAGGAGGGCCACTAAATGACGAGAGGACTGGAGCACTTCTCCTGTGAAGAAAGACTGAGGGAGCTGGACTTGTTCAGCCTGGAGAAGAGAAAAGGCTCCAAAGAGACCTCATTGTGGCCTTTCAGTACTTGGAGGGGCCTGCAGAAAAGCTGGGGGGGACTTTTTGTCAGGGGGTATAGGAGTAGGACGAGGGGTGATGGTTTTACACAATAATTGGGTGGGTTTAGAGCAAACATAAGGCTCAGCCAGACTTTTTCCACCAGCAGTGTGTTCAATGTGCATCCTCAGAGAGGGGAAGACTAACAAACACTTTGCTGCCTGGAGATGTGGATTTACCACAGAAAGATCACGGGGCTTCTGAGTGATGCACGTCCGCCTCCCCCATCCCAGAATCCAGCTCTTCTGAATGAGCACTTTTGCTCCCAGAAGCATCTTTTATCTCTGGCCTGAGATGATCCAGAGGTCTCCACAGCCACTTCTCAGGGTTTACAAATAATTCAGCTATTCAGGAAATCACTAAAACGAGTGCAAATGAATGGAGGGCTCGGAAGGGAGGTAGAATGGGTAAATTCAGGCTTTTGGGGACTGAAGAGGACAGTGTGATCTACTCCTGACACAGACTGACTCGCTTAAGGAGCAGCTGAAAAGCAGGGTGATAAATGGTGTGAAACACAGCAACTGTGAGACCCTGCAGCAGCAGGTGCCTGCTGAAAGGTTCCCACCAGCAAGTGAGATCAAACTGCCCCACTGCAACCAGAGAACCGGGCTGTCCGGCTCTGGAGAGCTGTGCATTGATAAACCCCAGCCTCTCAAAGCCAAGAGAGAGAAATGAGCTCCTGAGGTCACTTTGAAGTGGTTTTGCAGCTCGTTGGGTTCACTGCCGAGACGCGTCCTGGAAGCATGGGCGCAGGAGGAGCCAAGTCCAGGAAGAGGAAATGTACCCACTGCAATAAGCAGGGCCCTGGTCCTGCCCAGGAATAAAACAAGGGTGAGCAGAAGGAGGGCATCACACCCTGCTCCGACCTCCTCTGCTCCAAGGCTTTCCTCCCTACTTCTGCAGTGTTTCAACCAAGCTGCCACCGGTGCTTTGCTGCAAATTGCATCCGTTCCTACATTGCATCCATCCCCACACTGCATGCATCCCCACACTGCATCCATGCTGCACCCTTCCCAAACCCATTGCTCTTCCCTCCCAGCACCACCGTTCCCCAACACAGCCCACTCTGTATGTAGCCAGACAAGGCCCTGTGTTGGCAGTGCTGGCAGTGAGCACTCGGTTAGCCCGCCCTGTTCAGGCTTTGGCTCTCTGCCTCAGGGCTGGAGCCATGTCAGCTCAGAATCCTGAGCTGTATTTAACTCCAGAAAGCCTCAGTGGAAATGCTCCATTAAGGAGAGAAAAAAAGCAGGCGGTGACACAACTTGTTGCTTTATTAAAAATGAAGGTTGGATTTTCCTCCCATTCCTTGCCTGGTGCAGAAATTCAGACTGCAGCACCATGATTCCAGGTGCAGTGCCACCATCCTCCTTTGAATCCTTGTATTCACTGCCCTGGGAATCACCCCAATAGATGAGGGCTCTGTCAAAAAGTCCTTGCACTCATGTTTGCTTTGCACGAGGACTGCCCCTTGCACGAGAGGTCCCCTCACCCTCTGTGCATGCCCATTTTGCACGAGGACTGCATCATGCAGGTGCCCTACCCCTTGCACAAGGAGTTCCCATACCTCCAGTGCACACCCAGTTTGCACAAGGTCCTCCCTAGCACACGGGCTTCCCACAACCCATTTGCACACCTGTTTTGCAGAAGAAGCACCTCTTGCAAGAGGGCAGCCCCTTGTACAGGTGTTCCCACAAGCCATTTGCACACCCGTTTTGCATGAAGAGCACTCTGCGTGATGACTTCTTGCACAAGGGGTTCCCACATTTGCACACCCATTTTGTACCACAACCACCCATTGCACGAGAGGTGCCCACACCCATTTTGCTCAATGAGCACCCCCTTGCACAAGGACTGCCCCTTACATAAGGGGTTTCCACAACCCATTTGCACACTCATTTTACACGAGGACCGCCCTTTGCACGAGGGGTTCCCACTACCCATTTGCACAGTCATTTTGCACCATGAGCTCCCTTGTACAAGGGCTGCCCTTTGCAGAGGGGTTCTCATTACCCATTTGCACACCTGTTTTGTACGATGAGCACCCCTTACACGAGGACTCCTCCTTGCACAACGGGTTCCTACAACCCATTTGTACACTCATATTACACAAGGGCTGCCCCTTGCAGGAGGGGTTCCCACAGCCCATTAGCACACTCATTTTGCACAATGAACACCCTTGTGCAAGGGCTACCCTTTTGCACGAGGGGTTCCCAGTACCCATTTGCACACCTGTTTTGCACAATGAGCACCCCTCACACGAGGACTTCTCGCACGAGGGGTTCCCACAACCCATTAGCACACTCATTTTGCACGATGAACACCCTTGCACGAAGGCTGCCCCTTGCACGAGGGGTTCCCACAACCCATTTGCACACCCGTTTTACACGAGGGCTGCCCCTTGCACGAGAGCACGAGGGTCTCCAACACCTCCGCGCAACCATCGCGCACAAGGATCCCACAGCACACACTCATCGTGCAACCTCCCCTCAACTCCCCCCCATCTCCGGGCCCCGCTCCTGCAGCCCCTCCCCCTGACGTCAGGGCTGCGCGGGGCGGGCGGTGAGCGCTGTCCGGTGCCGGGCGGGGAAACGCGAACCGAGAGCGGCGGTGGAGACGGTGGAGGTTCGGTTCCGCCGCCCGCAGGTGAGCGCCGTGCGGAGAGCGGCTCCGCGGGTCCGGAGTTTGCGGCGGCGGTGCGCGGAGTGCCGTGTGAGTGTGCGCGTTGTGTACGCGGGCGTGCTCGTACTCTTATGTGTGTAAATGCACGTGAGATGCGTCTATCCGGCGTGCACGGGTGCGGGTGTGCGCAGCGCGGAGTGCGGATCCCGTGCAGATCTGCGCTGGAGAAAGTTTTGCTCCCGCTCGGTGCGTTTGGGCGATGCCCACCTGCGCGCTGCTTCCCCTCCTGCAATCCCACTGCTCTGCTGCTCTCCGGATTCGTTCCTGCAACTGCTGGAGCTCTGCGGGTGCCACCTTCAGAGGTGGCTTCGCTGGTGCCGTGTGTGGGATTGTAGTAATATTCGAGGTCCGGGCTGCTGGCTTCATTCAGAGAGCTATAGAATATCCCGAGTTGGAAAGGACGTCTTGTGGAGATGCAAGGACCGCCCTGCTGCTCACTGCCACGCTGTGAGGTTTCTTCAGCTGTGAGCTGCAGCCTGAGCTCGCTCTGTGGCCGTGAGTTGTGCTTGAAGTTTCCACGAGCACATCCCAGCAGGCCCCTTTCCTTCCAGCACACGGACTTGGCCTTCTGACCACGAGCCAGCAGTGTGCCCAGCTGGCCAAGAAGGCCAGTGCCATCCCGGCTTGTATCAGCAATAGTGCAGCCAGCAGGAGGTGACCTCCCCTTGTACGCAGCTCTGGGGTGTGCTGTGCTCAGAGTTGGGCCCCTCACTGCAAGAAGGACGCTGAGACCTGGAGTGTGTCCAGAGAAGGGCAACAGAGCTGTGATGGTCTGCAGCACGAGTCTGATGGGGAGCGGCTGAGGGAACTGGGGTTGTTCAGTGTGGAGGAGAGGAGGCTCAGGGGAGACATTATTGCTCTCTGTAACTGCCTGCAAAGAGGTTGTGGTGAGGTGGGGTTGGCATCTTCTGCTGAGTAGCAGCAATAGGACAAGAAGTAACGGTCTGAAGTTGGACCAGGAGAGGTTCGGATTGGATATCAGGAACAATTCTCAGAAAAAGTGGTCAGGCACTGGCACAGCTGCCCAGGGAGGTGGGAGCATCACCATCCCTGGAGGTGTTCACTAAATGTGTACGTGGGACACCGAGGGATGTGGGCAGTAGGCATGGTGGGGTGGGGTGGGGTTGGGCTGAGTGACCTTTTCCAACTGGAGTGGTTCTGTGATCTATACCCATGGTGATAGGGAAGTGAAGGAGCAACTGCTCCCTCCTCTGTCCTCTTCCCCCTGTTTGTGTATGTGCTTCAGGGTTGCCTTTTGGCTCTGTCTGGCACAGGACTCACTGGTGTTGGGAGGTTTTTGTTTGGGGTGTGTGGATCAGCAAACTGTTAGTGAGTGCAGTGCAGTGCTGATAGAAAGTGAGCTGGGAGCCCCAGGGCTCAGTGTTCCTGTGCTGTGCTGCCAGATCAGTGCAGCAGCTCCACCTGCCCCGTGGGGGTGATCCTTCAGCAGAAAGCACCATGCAGGGTGTGCTTGCTGCTACAGCATCCCGTGCTGATGCTCCCTTGCAATGATGGATACGGGAGCAACTTTGTAGCCTGGAAGCTGTACACATTATGACAAAGATTTGAAAAGCGGCTGAGTCATTGTTTTCACCTCCCATGTGTTAACCTCATCGCCCAGACACAACTGGGAACGTCAGAGGGATGGTGACACACGGCTGTCAGACAGCAGGGGGAGAGGTCCAGCCCAGCCCTGCACAGCCACAGCGTTCTGCAGGACCTCTGCCCAGAGCCCAGCCAGATGCGTGGTACCTGGGTGGGTCTTTGGGCACGAGGTGTTGAGGGGATACAGCTTGAATGGCACTGCGTGCGTGTGGCCCTATGTGAACGAGGTCGGCTTTTTCCTTAGGAACAGAAAAGCCTTTTTGGAGCCGAACAATGGCACGTCCCCTGGTGTGGTCAGCTAGCAAGTAAGGCGGGGGATGTTTCACAGACCAGTTCCTGCTGCTGTGAGCTTGCCAGTGGGCTGTGAGCACCGAGCTGCTGGCTGCCAGCACCAAACGGCTCTGTGGGTTTGGTCTCCTGGGCGCGGGGTTACAGGAGCTGAACAAAGAGAAACTTTTTCTTTTCGTAATGGATCCGCCTGCCAGCAAATGGCAGCTAACTTCAGGGAGGAAAAACAAAACAAGGCTCTGCCCGGTCAGAAAAAGCGTCCTCACATCTGTGGCATTTCCTTTCTTTCTTTCCCACTCGCCAGCCCCTCGTGTCCTGGCCGCAGCATTGAAAACCTGGGATCAGATTAGCAGTACTGGGGTGGGACTGCTTTCAGCCTCAATAAGGAGCATTTCCCAGCTGGGAAACCCAGCCCCAAAGCCCTCTGTGCTGGTTTTTCCCCTGGCAAGAGCTACAGCTGGTATCTTTTGGGGTGTGTGTGGCTGCAGCTGTGGTGTAGATGAAGCTCTTGAAGTCTACAGGAGCAGTTCGTAATGCACCTGGTCTGCAAGCAGCTGGTGCTTTGCAGTTCCTCAGGTTTTGAGGTTAGGAAAAAGAGGAGACGTTTGGGTGCATCTCCTTACCTATGGAGACTGTAAGGCTCCCTGTCCTGTTAACTTTGTTTGCTCGGATGGACAAGTGGCTTTGAGAAAGGGGATGAACTCTCAGTCTCCAAGATGGGTGGGGAGCAGCTTTTTGGCCGCAGGAGCTGGCAGACAGCCCGACCCTGCCCACTGCAGGGTCCTGGCCCTGTGCTTCCTGAAGTCTTCCCTTTGATCCCACTGGGCTTAAATGCACCTGTGGCACGGCCACGGTGTTCCCAGTGCTGGCCAGAGCTTTGCCATGTGGCCGTTTTCCTGACGGTCTCCCTCTCAGCAGCCCCCTCGCAACCGTCATATGTGAGTATGCTTTTCTGATGGCTTAGACTGGAATGGACCTCAAAGCCCACCCAGGTCCCAAGGGGCACCTCCCATTGCCCAGGTGCCCAAAGCTGCATGCAGCCTAGTTAGCACTTCCTTGGGTAGGGTGGATTTTTTCCATCCCAAGGTCCCAGGATGCAGTTCCTTCTCGGTGCTTTGCAGAGCTGAGAAAAACACAGCAGCCACAAAGCCCTTCTTTTGGCCATTGTGTGTGTTGCTTAGTTATCTCCAGGCAGGGGCTGCAGACAGACAAAGTATTTACTGTCCTTGGGAGATGATTATTACCTCCGTCAGCAAAGCATCTCTGTGCAGGACAGCATGTTTGTTTGCACCGGCCTTGACCAGCTTATCGCCCTGCGACTTACAGGCAGCACTGCTCATTCCTGGAGCTTTTTGCCCTGGAATGAGGGGAGGGTGCCCTGAGATCAGACATGGGTGATGGGTCTCTTTCCACATCTGCTGTGTCCTTTACTTTTCCATCCCCCAAATGGCTTGCTGGGCAGACTTCATGTAGCCTATGTATTCCCATGCGGCGTTGTTCCTTTTCTACGTCCTGTTCAGCTTGGTGGTGAAAAGCAAATGAAGGGTTTGGATTTTTTTTTTTTTTTTTTTCGGAGTCTGAAAGCACTGGTGAGAAACAGCCCTGTACAATCAGTACGAGTTTCCAAGTCATTGTTCTCCTGTTTTGTGTTGCTGCTGAGGTGTGGCCCTGTGCTCCCTGGAGAGTGACCGAGCTGCTCAGAAGGAACCTTTCCAAAACATATAACGTCAAGCCCTATTCCTGAAAGTTAATCATGGCAGAAAACGCTTTAATTAACTCAATTAGCCAGACAGTCCATCTGGACTCTTGCTGTGCTTGGTTAAATCCCATGAAATGAGGTCACAGCTCTGGCTGGGGGACAGGGATGGATGCCTGCGAGCCCCTCAGGGATGTGCTGTGGTCTCCAGCCCCAGTGGTGCTGGTGGCATGGGGCAGGGGGTTGCTGGCACCAGTGCTTTCCTAATGCTGCCATACCTGCAGGAAGGGGAAAGTTTTTCCAGGGAGTATGTAGAGATGTGGGTGCGTTGTCATTGCAACCAGCACAATGCCACAGCCTGGCTGTGGATCTCGGGGCTGGATGAGTGTCGTCTCTCTGCTGTCCCTAATTACCCAGCTTCTTTTGCAAGCCTGAGACTGAAATCCCTTCGACTTGAGGAGTTTGGAGGTCACTGAGAGCAATGGCCTCTGCTGCAGCTGGTGGGTGAGCAGCACTTCTGCACTTGTTTCAGCAACTTGCCCGCCAAATAGCTGGGAGACAGAGGAATTTGGGGGTGCAAACTCACCGAGCACAGAGGGATGGATGGATGCTGTGTAGCTGCTCGGAAGTGCGACCGGTCAGAGCAGCTGGTGCTTCCCTAACTCCTGCTTGGGCTATTAATAGGAACTGTTAAAATGTGCACTGAGGCCAGGGTGTGGGACATGACCAGGCATGGAAACAGTGAGCAGAAACCTTTCTCCCAGCATGCTGCTGGAGCAGAGGAATGCAGGGATCTGGGGAAGGGAGCGTTTAACCCCCTCTGTGTGCTTTCCCTGCAGCAGGGGGTGACCTCTCTGTTGCAGCTTTACCCAATGTGTTGACCTCTGTTTTAAATGTAAATGTGCTGGGGAAAGGAGTTAATCTCGTGTTATAGGAAAGCTGCTTGCCTTGCTGCTGCCAGGCCATGGTGGGAAGCCCAGCGTGGTGAAGCAGTGATGCATCCTATGGGCAACGTGGGCTGTGGAGGTGGCATTTCCCTGCAGAGCTGCATGTCCTGAAGGCTTTTGCTACCAGCAGATAGCACTGTGCACAGGGAGAAACTGAGGCAAGAGCACCAGCATCACCTGAGGTCAGCGTGATCTCAGCATCAAACCTTGGTCAGTGTAGTTGTGGAGCCCATATGTGCAAAAATGGGCTCCAGAATAAAATGAGGAATGTGTTTGGGGGGTGGGGAGGGAAGTTGTGCCCAGTTTGCCCTGCAGTCAGGCAGGAGGAGATAAAAGGAATGAAAATATTTGCAGTTTGGCCTAATTTTTCATGGGTTGTGAATGGGAAGCGGCGATGCCAGCGCCGCATCAGATGGTCTGCTCGCTTG